GAACTGGCACCCTGTACAAACCGAAGAGACTGTTCACGCCTCAGCTGTTCCAACTTTTAAAAAGTTTCCTGTAAGAACGCTCATTCCGCATTTTCGCAGGAGTGCCCAAGGTAGCGTCCTTGGCCCTACCATATACTCCATCTTCGCTTCGAAAATGCCAACTCACACACCAATCACTGAAGTTTAAAGAATCTTGGCAGCCACATTTGCACTGCAAGAATACCTGGATGCATTTCAGCAATGGGTCAGTCCCCGGGTAGAACATAGGAATGCAACATTCTCCCAGACGAAGTAACCGGTTGACCCCTACTACCGGCGTGGGTAATGTGACATTAGTGCTGATCCCACCTAACTGGGTCGGTGAGAGTAGTACGGCACAAATGGCGCCGCCATCTTGAAAAGTAGCTCTCATTGTACGCCATTTTGTGCAAAAAGTGACGCGCATGGAATGCCCAGGTGTCGGCATCAACACCTTGTGCGTTTACTGGGACAACTCAAGCGTACAACTGTACGGACCTTGAGAACAAGCAACGCTTGCTGAAGGCTCTGACGGATAATGCCCGTGAGACCGTCACGACTCTTCTGATCCATCCAAATAACGTCAGCAGCGTGGTGGAGCAGCTGCCCTTTATGGCCGACCGGAACAACTTTCACGCAGCCAGCTAAACGGTATACGAGAGGTGCCCCCATTAGGGAGCACAACCTATCGAAGATTATTTCCTTCGCAACCTGTGTGGGTAACCTCACAGCCAACTTGCAGTCAGCAAAGGCAGATCAGCACTTGGAGAATCCAATCTAATGGAACACTTGTGGCCAAGCCAAGCTCCCTACCAGTAAACGATTGGAGTGGGCAAAACATGCTGTTACGATCAAGCCATTCCAAACCATTTTGGATATTAGTACGTGCTTGATGTTGTAAGCGAATGTGGTGTGCACTATTGTGGACGTTGAAAGGAGAAAACCTAGGCGTCGACTACTGCATGCAAGCATCATTCCGGAGCAACGTACCCAACAAGAGGGTCGCCCCAGAGGTAGTCCATTTTGTGGAGGACAACAAGCAGTCTGGGACTGCAGGGAATTCAACGGAGCTTCGCTGCCGGATAGGGTGAGGTATGTGCGAAGGCATTGACTATGCTTTACTTGCCTACGAAGTGGTCACATGACTAGATCCTGCAACTCGCATTATAAGTGTCAATGCAACGGATATCGGAAGAGGCACCACCGTCCGCTACATTTAGCAGATAACAAGCAGAGATGGTCACCGCAATGAGGCTGCCACGGAAGCTACAACGAGGGAAACCAGTGGACAGCAGACTTTGAGACTTAGCCCAAACAGAGGGGCCCTGCAGGCAGCGGAAGCGTCCGTACAGAAAATTAAAGTTGTGTCGCCAAAAAATTTAGGCCTACGGGAGCAGTCAAGCCCATCATCGACCGTCATTATGTCGATTACTATGTGGACAGCTTTGCTACGGAGAGCGAGACCATGAGCGTATCTACCCGAGTGAAGGAGATGCATGCGAACGCTGGATTCGAGTTTTCGTCCAGCTCACTAGTTGTGGAAACTGCACTGGGCCCACCAGGACTAGTTTTAATCGAACGACGATCGTGTCCCTACTAAAAGGTGGTACTTAAGCTTGTTCATGGCTACGTTCGATCCCCTGGGATTCCTTTGCTGCCTCATAATAACGGCGGAGTTATTGTTACGAGAGTCTTGGATGCTCTGCATTTGAGGGAGACCATTTGTACGAGAATAACAACGCACTTAAGCTTCGTTTATAATAATGTATGCCGGCAGAAGCGATATTAGAGGGCTGAAGCAATACATAGATGAGCATGGAGTTCTGCTCGCCTACGGTAAAATTGCTGCCTTATTGTGTACTTACAGTGCAAGGAGGCCGATAATTCTGTTACATCGGGACAGTCTTACGGAGATGATGGTGCACCATGTTCACACCAAGATGAAGCATTAAATTGTGGATGCTACGATTGCAGAGATCCGGACCAGAATCTGGTCACGAAACTGAGGCGTGTACTACAGAAGCTTATCTTTGTATGCAACTTGTGTAAGTTGCAACGAGAGCGGCCGACGCCGCCAATTATGGGACCTTTGCCAGGAGATCGCTTGGAGGCCAATTAATGGCCGTTCAAGAAAACTGCACTGTATTATTTTGGTCCACTGATGGTGACCGTGGCTTGACGATCAGGGCGATACATCTAGAAGTGGTGCATGACGAAAGAATCCAGAATGAGCTTTCAGGCAGAGGCATTGAATGGTGCTGTGGTTCAAGAAAGTTCTGCGTCACACATTGAAAGAGGTGGCGCCACGGGATCACATACTGGAGAGCTTATTGATCAAGGCGGAGAATCTAGTGAATTCGCATCCTAATGATTTGCTCAAGGGATTGTCTAACTTGCCGGATACGCCGGGCGAGGATGTGGACCTGAGCTATTTACTGAACACTTTATTGATCGAGGCAAAGAATGTAGTGAATTCGCATCCTAATGATTTGCTCAAGGGATTGTCTAACTTGCCGGACACGTCCAGCAAGGATGTGACCTGACCTATTTACATCCAAGGAGTTGTCCGATTACTGAGGAAGGAGGAGGTGGGTTTTGGAGTACCTGCCTGCGCAGGTACTGCGAGAAGTGGTGCTGAGACGATTCGCCAGGGTGGCTTAGTAGCCGTCTGGTATATTATTTGAATTGTATTGATATTGAGCCTTAGAATGAACGGGCATATTTTGGCCGCCATAGATTAAAGCTTTCGCATTGTCGCGTGGTTAGAGCAGAAGTTTTAAGTTTTATTTTATTATTTTAATACTTTTTTCCGTTTTTATTAATTTAAGTAATTTTAAAACACGAAATATGTATATATTAGCAGTTCCTGTGACTAAATTAATCACGACACATCGATAATATTTTAGCTATATGTATTGACTAAGGACAAAAAGAACCCAGGATTCTAACCCTTCTAGACACCTTAGAAAAAACAAGAATTTTATATACCCTTGCAGTTGTTTATTACCAAAACGAAGGAGCTATGTCGATTGTGCGCTGCATTTTGCCATCGTTTCTACGCGGCTATATGATATTGTTATCCGAAATTGAAATTGAAATGTAATCGTTCTGTAATAACTGCAAGGGTATATAAACTTCGGCTGTCCGAAGTTTGCTTTCCTTTCCTTTCTTAATTTAGTTTTTCCGATTGTTCCTATGGCAGCTGTATGATATAGTCGCCCGATCCGGAGCGTTCCGACTTATTACTACCTGTAATAGAAAGACAACTTTTGGGAAAGTTTCAAGCAGATTTCTTTAAAACTGAGGGTCTAGTTTGCGTAGACGGACATAGCTGGATCGACTCACCTGGTGATGCTGATTAGGAATATATATACTTTATAATGTCGAAAATGTCTTCTTCTTTACTGCGTTGCAAACTTTTGACTGAAATTATAATACCCTCTGCAAGGGTATACAAAGGGTGTACCGCTCAAACCTTTTTGTAAAGTAAGTGATGAGACATTAACTTGTATCACTAACTATACAACATATGTTGTATGATTAGTGCTTGTATGCATCCAAATACGGTTAAACTGATGATTCTGATTAATATTTATATCATTATTGAACTATACTTCTAAAATTTAAAACTTGAATAAACATTTATGCCTATCAATATCTCTCATTAAATCTAGCTTGATAGTTGTTTAGCTTTAATTCTTAAACTTGTCAAGAATGACCCGGGAAGGTCCATACAGATTGATAGAAAAGCTCAAATAAAACGTCGGTTCGAACTAATCATCTGAATTAGATGCGTGCTCATCTAGTCTGGATGAAATTAACTTGAAATAATCAAAAATCCCTTTCTATTATTTTGAATACAATAATAAAATGCTCATTGTTTAGTGGAAAAACATTCATAACTTTTAACAACTCCAAATTGACTTTACCGGCACTATAACCTTGAAACACGGTGAAAAGAAGAAGGAAAGCTTGACCTGCTTTCTCCAAAAGCTCGTCCGGATATCTTGATTTCTGACCTTCCCTCACAAACATATTCTGTACCATCTGACATTTAAGCCCATCCAAACACTTTTTAAGTTTTCCATTTAGTGGTTTGATAGCATAAACTTTATCTTTATGGGTTGCACTTTTTCCGGGATAAAGTTACGGCAGGACTGGCAATAAATTCCATAGGGGGACTAAAAAATAGCCGCAGAATAAAAAAATTGGCTGTAATCGATCGATCGGAGCAAATACCGGTCGAGAGGTATCGCTTTATATAAGAGGATTGCATACCACTTTGAGAAAATCAAGATCCTTTGGAGAGAAAGTGTGAAAGTGTAAAAATTCCAATTTAGAAAACTGGATCTCATGGTTGCATTCTTCTTGAAATTTCACTCCGAATGACTCCCAACTACGATGCTCTGACCAAAAGTTATTAAATATGCAAGGTTTTTTACATTTTTTTTTGTAAAATAAAAAAGGTCTATGTAAGCATCAAATCGAGTATTAAGGGTCCTGGAATCAGTTTAACTTTGTTAAACAGCTTGATAAAAAAGTTCAGATACAAATCGTTAAAAAGGTTTTTTATGGGCTATTTACATATTCATAGCCTTATTTCTCGATGTATAAATTATAGCCAAGAGTTACTAACTTCACGTTCTGTGTTCACGCTTAACCTTTTTTTTTTTGAAACGTGATATCTTTCTAGTCTCAAGTCCTTTGAGATTACCAACTTTTCATTTATAACACATTTTTCTTTAAAAAATCGCGTTGGGTAGTTAGTCAGCACTAAAAATGAATTTCGGTCAGTTTTTGCAACAAGAATTTTTTATCAGTTTTAGGGCGAGATTTTTATAGCCAATCATTCAGTATTAGGAAAATAAATAGTATTTTTAATAGTATTTTTTCATGTGAGATAAAAACACACTTTTTTAGTTTTAATTATTTTGTATTTGTATTTATATTAGCTTAAAAACAAATCCAAACAAGATAAGAACACAGTATTCAAAACATTTAATTATTGACGAAAATTGCATACATTTTCTTCACACACATGAACTAAACCGACGGCATAATTTCTTTCGTTTACCTTCTGCTTGTTGCTCTTGTTAAAATAGACAATTAAAATGATTTATAAAATCGCTTTGAATATAAAAATCACTTAAATCTAATGCTTAGCGTTCACACTCAGATGGAGCAGCCACGCCCACAAGCTGAGCCTGGCCGCCCATCACACATAAGTCGGTCGACTGCAGTTGGCCATACACAAAAATTGGATAAAAATTCAAGCGTTGCTTCATCTATTTACAAAAATATGTTTGCACGTTTATGTTTGGTTTGGGTTTATCTTTTGTTTTACGTTTATTTAAATAGCAGTTTTTAGAAACATTCGAATACATTTGTGGAGACCGTTTGGAACATCAATAACACGCAAAGATTCTGACAATGACACGAGAACAAAAAAAAGGCTGGAGCTGCGTCAGAAATCGAAATTTGGTTGGCTTGAGGGACGGGGACAGAAAAGTGTCTCAGTTTAACAATTGCAAAATAAACCAGAATAGCGGCTACTGAACGGAATTTGAGTTTTATGGGGGATGGGCCAACAAATGACCTTGACTTGAAGTATTATTCGATATTTCGTTTGATTCATGTGGCTTCTGCTTTAAAATGATTTTATAATTATTTAATATGCTCGTATTTATGTTTTAAAAGCTGACAACAAATGGAAATGCCTATTTAGAGAGGTACACTCAAAAAAAGTTTCAAGCACAGCGGCTGTTACTCCGTCCGATCATCATTGTACATTTTGTACATCACGACTACTGATTTGTCTGGCCACAACGATATGGAGTGCTGCTGTTTCTGCCCATTCCGGTTCCGATTCCGTTTTCCTAGTGTATTCCTATTGGTTGTCGGACACTTTTTGCCTGCTGTTCAAATTTATATTTCATTATCTTTGTATTTTTATATAAGTGTGTCTGAATGTATACATAGTACTTAGAAAGTAACCCTTACGTTCTGTACGCGACTGTGCATGCTCGTGTCCTGTCCACCAAGTCGCCGGTTCCCTAGCCATAATCCTTCCGTCCTTTAGCTAACTAGCATTTAGTTACATATGTATACACCGTACCGCGTACCGGGGTCAATTCGCATTACATTCGCTATTTACATGGAACTCAAAGTTACGCTTCATAAATTTTGACTAGTTGCCTTGAAGGGGTCTCTCTCTCTCTGCTTATGTCCTTGCTACTCCTTAATTGGTTACTCAATACTCGATACTCATTATTAGTTCGCTTAGGTTTTGGAATTTGGGCAAAATGCTTGCTTACTACATCGAGAGAAAAATGCTAATTGTTGAAATCCTTTGGATACACTTGATCATCATTAATTCCTTATTCGAACTCTAGCATATGTTGTCTGGCTGTTTCTTCTGCTACCCCAGTTGTTGTGCTTCTATCAGAGATTTGCACAGTTGTTTATTCTAGACCTATATCACCGCTTAATTGTCTTAAACACTCTAATTATTTTAGCTTCCTTCGCTACCGACCTGACACCGTCCTTCTTCCTTTCGTTTGGTTGAGTCGTGAGTTGATTTGTGTTGTGTCTTACAAAGTTAGTTGATTGATTATGAAAGTGGTGTGCCTCTACTTATCAAAGTTGCTCGAATTTCTCACCTTTTCTTACATGCCTAGGTATTTTTGCTTGCCAGTATATATAACTATTACAATGAATCATACAATATATGCGTACTTTGCAAGGTATTAATTATGTATTATGAAACCAATGCGATCCTATGCAAAATGTTATTCATTATAAGTACGTAAGTACTCGGTTGTATGTATGTACGATTTTCCGTTTTTTGTACATAAAAATATATTGTATATTTATGCCATATAAGTATGCCGAGCTGTACGCTGGATAATAATCGAGTGACCAACTATAGGCCATTTGCTTCTTTGTACATTTTGAAAGCATCGCGAAATCGGACTTCCTCCGAATACATTTTGTCTTTATATATAGTTAAAACTGTCCGGCCTTCGTCCTGTGTTTTATATGTACTTTGTTGTAGGAAACATGTTGAAAATTATATAAAAAATACATGTCATAAAACTCACTACAAGGTGGTTTCAAAAAAACAAAACGAAGAAGCTTTTAGCTTGTATTCGTATAGTTCTGATGTCTTTTCTCTGGTTTGTTTTATATTCTCAATGCTTATTGAGTAATCGTACTATAAATAAATAGCATTTGCTGCAAGTATGCGTTAATAGTGGCGCTACTTTTAGTAATAGACGCGTTTTACTAGGCCTAATACAAATAGCGCTGATCTAAGGCTGTATTGCAAACCATTTTCCATATTGTGTGTGCTTCTGCTCGTCTTAATTTATCGAAATCTTGTTTATTTTAAGCACTTAGAACTAAACAAAAGTGCGTATCATTACTAAAGAAAAACAATACATTATATACAGCCAAACCAGTGCGACGTGGTTCGAAATCGCCTTACACATACTACACGAAATATACAATAAGTCTTAGATGTGTCTTGTATACATGTCGATCATAATGGGTTTTGGTTTTGGGGAAGTAGTGTTGTATACGTAGCGCTTTGGCTTGTCACGCGTAGATGCCTATGTGAAGTTGTAGTTTATGCCATTAGTCCCTCAGCTATGCAGATGAAGCCAAGACGCCATCACCACCAGGAGCAGCCAGCTGGCCAGATGACCCTGTGCGGCACTGGCGCCAGTTTCGCCACATTTACCTGCGATTGAATATTTCGAACGTTAGTTTTCCGGAAATCCTGGTTATTTCTGGATCTACTCACCCAAAACTGACAGATTGGCCTCCAAGTGATGATCGGGTGGTTTCTGAGTGCCTCGATAGCAGGCATCGCCCACGACCAGTTTGGCAGCGGTGCCTTCCGTGGGTCGATAGGTCAGGCACACTCCGTGCTTGCTGCCCTTGTGGCGAGCTATGATGTAGAAGGTGCTGTTCTCACTCCAAGATCCGTGGCAGGAGTACTCTGCAAATGTAATTAAAATGGGGTCTTACTTATTTATTCCGCCGCAAATGGATTAATACTGGGCAACAAACTTAACCTAAAACTTTAACTTAACATACAACAAGAAAGGAAAGCTAACTTCGGGCGGAGCCGAAGTTGATATACCCTTGCAGAATACTCTGTAAATTATATTCTCCAGAATTATTCATATGATGCCTTCTTAATACTCATAAAAAATCCCAACTTCCTAACTTTAAAAACACCAAAGTTATGGCATTTCCAATCGTTCAGTTATATGGCAGCTATAGGATATATTCATCCGATCCTAATGAAGTTTGGTAGGTCGGATTGATTGGCCAAAAATAAAACCCATAGAAAATCCCAACTTCCTAACTTTACAAACACCAAAGTTATGGCATTTCCGATTAATCAGTTATATCGCAGCTATAGGATATATTCGGCCGATCCTTATGAAGTTTAGTAGGTCGGATTGATTGGCCAAAAATAAAACCCATAGAAAATCCCAACTTCCTAACTTTACAAACACCAAAGTTATGGCATTTCCGATTAATCAGTTATATGGCGGCTATAGGATATAGCCGGCCGATCCTTATGAAATTTGGTAGGTCGGATTGATTGGCCGAATATAAAACACAAAGAAAATCCCAACTTCCTGACTTTACAAACACCAAAGTTATGGCATTTCCGATCAATCAGTTATATGGCAGCTATAGGATATAGTCGGCCGATCCCGGCCGTTCCGACATATATACTGCGTGCAAAGGAAAGAAGGGTGTGTGCAAAGTTTTAATTCGATATCTTTAAAACTGAGAGACTAGTTCGCGTAGAAACAGACAGACGGACAGACGGACATGGCTATATCAACTCAGGAGGTGATCCTGATCAAGAATATATATACTTTATAGGGTCGGAGATGCAGCTATAGGATATAGTCGGCCGATCCCGGCCGTTCCGACATATATACTGCGTGCAAAGGAAAGAAGGGTGTGTGCAAAGTTTCAATTCGATATCTTTAGAACTGAGAGACTAGTTTGCGTAGAAACAGACAGACGGACAGACAGACGGACATGGCTATATCAACTCAAGAGGTGATCCTGATCAAGAATATATATACTTTATAGGGTCGGAGATGTCTCCTTCACTGCGTTGCACACTTTTCACCAAAATTCTAATACCCTTTGCAAGGGTATAATAATTCCTAAGGTTCATAAGGTAACCCTGACTGGAAAAAAATGAAATTGGTGTAGAATTGGTTTCACATTCCAAACATTGTTTTTATGGATGTATAGGTTGACATTCTCATATTAATATTTTGATAAATAGAACAACAGCAAAAGAATTTTTTTTAAAATTTAAATTTAATTTTTTTATTTTTTTATAGGAGCCCTATGATATATATGACCGATTTTAAACCGTTATTCCAAAGTATTTAAATATTACCAAATCCCAAAGTACAAAGAAAAAATTAAAAACAACAAAGATATAACTTTTTACATTTTTTTTCTGGTTGTTCCCATGGGAGCAATATGATATAGTCGCCCGATCGGATTTGTTCCGTCTTCCGAAAGACAACTTTTGGTAAAGTTTAAAACTGAGGGACTAGTTTGCGTAGAAACGGACGGACAGTCGGATGGGCGGACGGACATACTCACGGACGGGCGGACGGACCTACGCACGGACGGGCGGACAGATGGACGGATGGACAGACCGACAGATGGACGGATGGACATAGGTCGGAAATGTCTCCTTCACTGCGTTGCAAGCTTTTGACTGAAATTATAATACCCTCTGCGAGGTATAAAAACTGAAGTTTTATATCAACTAGAGTACGGATTATTGTCAATACTAAAAAGTATAATTTATTTCACCAAATAACTAGTATCTTACATACAAAATCCTTTTTTAACTTACTGATTAGATAGGTGCAAAAAAATAAAAACATATATTCTAAAAATCTATTCATAAATCGTTTTTATCATTTAATTCATAGAAAAATCTATTTCCAAATTGAATACCATAACCTAGTCTTAAGCATCAAGCTTGCGCTAAGTTGACTTACCCTCTTCCCCATCCACGCTGCACAATGGACTGACGTCGATCAAGTTTTCCGCCGTACATCCCACCCAAAGCTGCCGCTGGGCATTGTAGTTGGGCACACAGCCCGGTACATCTCGTCGATTCCTCGTGGCTACAAATCCCACGCTCGTATCGCTGCTGTTGACCTTTTCCAGGACCAACGCCTGCTGCTGCTCCTGCGGATCCTTGGGTGCGTTGCGTCGACTGCGAACTGGCAGGCCTCGGGTATTGGCATGCCAAGAGCCGCGCTCCATGCGCTCCGCGTTCCGAAAACTCAGCGAACTGTGTCTGTAACCACGGAAATAGATTGAGAAATGCCAGAGGTGGCGGCCATGAAGCGTACGTACCCCTTATGCCCGAAATTTCCCGAGTCAGCGCCCTCGTGGTGATGATGTCCGTGGCCCAGATGCGACTTGCCATTGTGGTTGCGCTTGTGGCGCGTGGCCAGATACGGCGGTCCGATGGCGCCTCGTAGCATGTAGATGCCCTCCATGGGACAAATGGCCAGATCCGGGTTGCTGGCTAAAAAGCGACATAAACAAACGTTTGACAAGACTCGCGGAGGAGGTAGGTCGGTGCAGTTTACCCAGCAAGGTAATGTAGGCCATCTTGTTGATGTCAAAGTGATCCGGTGCACAGGCGTCCTCCAGGCGAATGGCCGGCTTGCCCGTCTGTATCTCGATGACGAACGTGTCCCGGCGGTAGAACATCATGCACATGAATCCCGATTGGCTGCGGGCGCGAAAGGGAGTGGACATTGAATTCGAGGGGAGGGCATTTTCAATTTGGGGCCACTTACCACCCGGTGGTGTAGTGCACCACGGCCATCATTTCGGTCGGGGTCTGTTTATTTATTTGCTCGCAGAGCGCACGTGTCTCCATATAGCCGTTGGGCTTAATAATGTGCACGGACCCGTCGCTGCAAAATGAAAACGGTTGTGTTCTGGCTCCGTTTCGGCTGACAACTTGGCCGCAGGCCTGATTGCTACTCACTTGGAATGATAATTGTAGACGGCATTGCCCATAAGGGCATGCCAGTGGCGCGGACCCTTGAACCAGGCCGGGAAGTCGCAGCGCTCGGCGATGGGGGGTTTTCGCAGTGACATGATACGTGAGCCAACCTGTGGGCGGGAGTTAGTTGGATTAGGAGTTGGGTGTGGCCAGGCAGCACTCAAATAAAACGATGGTAAGGAGAGCACACGAAATTTTTATTGATCTTCATAGCAGAGCCATTGGGGTATATGAGCTGCTCTTTGCATACAAGATTTATATTTACTTCAATGCAAGAAAAACAAAAGTGAAGAGAAAGTGAACTTTTATTTCTTGCATTATATTTCGCTAGCTTTATTTTAGACAACTGAACTATTGATTTTAACACAAACGATAAAATAAACTTTTCGAACATAGAGATTACTGAAAATGTACACTCTATTTAAAGCCCATTTAGAAGAAAATCCGTTTTAATATCAAGGAAAAAATTTGTCTCAGTGCAGCTAAGTGAAAATGACAGATGAACGGGGTGGGGCACTGGAGCTGGGGCAGAGGCTTCGAAAATGCTTACCTCGGCACTGTCTAAGCCATTGCAAGTGGCGTCGCCGGATTGGGCCAGCTTATATTCGGCATCCTTCGAGCTGAGCATGCTGGGGCCGCCTGCAAAGGGTACGAATGTACGGGTATTAGGGCTCAAACAAAAGTTCATCCTGTTTGCCCGGGGGCTGGTTGCTGCTTACCCATCAGCGAGGAGATTTTCTCGTAGACAAAGCAGCGATAGCGCTCCTCGTTCGAAATGGCGTGATGGTGAGAGACCAGGCCGACCAAGTAGCGTGAGTTGCCATCCTTCCAGGTTGCCAGGCACGTCAGCTCCTCAACTGCAGCCGGAGCACCGAAAAGGAAGGAAGGAAGGATGTTCGTCTTGAGATCCGGCCATACAGGCAATGCCAGGCCAGGCAAGGCGATGAGTCATTGTCACCGGCGAGACTTACCCGTACTCTCGGTGCCCTGGACATCGGGACAGGCCTGGAAGCTCAACAGGAGGCGGCTCTCCTCCGTGCAGCTCTCAATGTTGGACACTGGCGACTTGCACTCTCCGTGGCCCCGGTTATACGTGAAGATGAAGGGTCCTGCGGGCGAAAAGGTATAGGGTTTAGGGTAAAGTAGCCCCCTGCGTCCCTGAAATGCTCCTAGTTCGTTCCTACTCACCCTTGAGCGGGCACTTGACCGGTTCGGCGCTCTCCCGGAAAAGCGAGTAAAGCAGGGCATCGCCCGGAATCTGGTCGCAGAGATTCTGTAAAGTCTCACGGCCCTTGCAAAAGTCTGGGGGACATGATTATTTTAAAAGCACAAATAAAAATTCAATTAATGCAAATCGCAAATTAGGTGGTCGTTGAACACAGAACACACAGAAGGAGGAAAAATAGTAGAAGTAGTGGTAGTAGTAGCAGTATTAGTAGTAGAAAGTTGTAAGGTTTAGTGGGAGCAGAGTAGGTGGTAAGTAGTAAACTGTACTAAGAATAGCAAAACATTAAAGTAAGGGCATGGTTGAAAGGAAATCAAATCTACAAAGGCTAGGGATGTGAAAAATATGTTTTATATCTTTTATTTTTTTGTTCAACTTTTGTTGAGTGCCGCACTGGAAGCTGCGCGGCTGATGGGAATTCTGCTCCGTCAGGGCCATCGCCAAGCACGCCATTTAAATTGCACAGAAATTTGTTTAATTAAGTGGCCGCTGATGCTGATGGTCCGGGAGAAAATTGCGCACATATATGACGAAATGAAGCATTAAATCAGCAGAAATGTCGCAAACCGAGCGCTGCGAGTTGCTTGCTGCGTGCAAAGGCAAAACCAAGAGGCAAGTTGCCACCGCGGTCATGCCCCCAGTTTCGAGCTTCAAGTGCGGCACAGAGTGGAGAAACAACAACAATTTCTGAGGAAATGTGTAAAAAGCAGCGGTAAGTACAATACATAAGTAAGATAAGTATGTAAGTTCCAGAAAAACAAAAAAGCAAACAAACCGAAGGCGGTAAGGAACAACAAACCAAAGACTTATGACGTTCACAGAAATAACTTAAAGACAAGAGTTTTTCATTTTCAGCGGCGCTTCCTTGGGCTGTGGAATTGCACTGCCCAACTTCTGTATTTTAAACTCAACTGAAAGGCACGACACGTTCAAAAAAAAAGAACCAAAAAGCAAAAACACACACTTGGTTCATCTTGTTCTCCCGCCTCTGAAACCAAAAGCAAGGATCTGGATTGGGAGTCGGATTGGATGGGGTTGGGGGTTTTGGGAAATGGGAAATGGGCGGAGAAACAGAGGCGGTTAAGGTTGTAAAATAATGTTAGTGCCTGGTAGGGCCGTATATAGGGTATTTGTTGCTAGAGCAAGCATAACATTTGAAATAACTTAAAAAATAACAACAAACATTTACTCATGATGAATAAATTGGGTAATCGGTAGTTTCTGGTTTTATGGCAAACGCGAGAGATATATATGTGGCATATATATGTTCTTTTGGTAAAGGGTCCTCTCTTTTTTCATTTTCTTTTTTTCTTTTTTACTGGTAAGATGTGTAGAGTTGTTGTAAAAGTTAATTGTAACTAAAATCCGTTTCGTATAAGTATACACTAACAGATACAGATATGGGCATAATATATACAAAAACACATTCAGGCATTGGTCTCAACAGTACAACATGTTTACAGCTAAAAAGGCACACAACAAACGGTATCGTATTTGGTTTTTGTTTAATTTTTCTTTCAACAAATTGAATTGTTTCAGTTTGTTCTTTAGCAATACACATTCTACGGCAAGTAACTCAAAAACAGGCACACGCAGAGTCGCAAAAAGAGGTAACAAATTATGAGAAAAATACCAATTATGTGTGTGTTGTGGTGTAAAAAGCCAGGATATGCAGGATACACACGGGTGTAATCGACTGTATGGGGGGTTGAGTTTTCGAGACAGGCCTTGTGGCGTTTTTGAGTAATGATTGTAATTAAGTAGCAACTACACTTTATGAGCTATACAAGGCACAAAAGAAAGGTGTAGGGTGGGCGTGGCAGTGTCTGGGTGTGTGAGTGTCGTGTGTCTGTGTGTGGGTGTCGGATGTTTTTCATATTACTTTTTTAGTGTGAGTATGTGTGCGTGTAATGGTCAAATATTACGGAGAAGCGTTTGTAGCATATATATGCGAGTATATCATGACAAGGCAAAAAACGACATTACAGACATGAAAAAAACGTAAGAAAAAAATGTAAAATAAATTATAATACTTTTGCAGTTGGTTTTCGGTATTCTTTTTACGATTTATTTTTTTTTTTTTTTTTTTGTTTTTGGTTTTGTGGTCGGACCGACCGTTAAGCGCAGAGTTATATTAGATAGCCGGACTAAATTACAGTAGAGCAGTGGCCCAAAACATTCTAACGCACACGCACAACGAACAACACTTAGAACGAACGCAATGATAAATGAGAGACACACACAGCTAGAAAGAAGAAGGAACAAAGGATTGAACCAACTAACGAACGAACGAACAAACGACACAATCGTAACTTATGAGTAACCGAGAGCAGAAATTGTTGAGTTTCATGTTAAAATTACATTAATTAAATTACACACATGTATGTACAGAACGGAGGGAAAACTGAAAACTGAATAGAAACTAATTAGACAGCAACAAAGCAACTCAAGAAACCAAAAACAACCGATAAGGAACAGAACTCAAAAGGACACAAACACGGACACACAGAAAAGGAAAGAACAACACAGAATGGTGAACCCATAGAGCAAATAGTAGTACGAATAGTAGTAGTAGGGTAGTAGTAAGGTAAAGTAGTAGTAGGTTGTTAGGTTAGGTAGAATGTAGTAAGAAGAAAGTACAATAAGTAATTGATAAATGAGACAATTATACTAGCGGTCACCGGGCAGCCCATCCCAACATTTCATCATCATATACAAAGATGTACTCGATATATATTCGTGGCTAAATATATATCACTTTTCTTTCATTTTTGGTTGTGGTTCGTATTTTTTTTTCTCATAGGCATGTGCAAAGGAGCACAAAATTTTGCTGAAATCCTTTCTTGTTTTTGACATTCACGAAATTGAATTAGAAAACAAAGTATGACAGAGAGTAGGTAAAAGTATTGAGCACATGGCTTTCTATACAGATGTGTCTCGAGTTCGCTTTCGTAGGCTCTATGGAAACAAATGATTTTTCCTGTTTTTAATCCTTTTTATTAAAGCGAAAACAGAAATCAAAAGCGGGAGTTGTGAGGGATTGTGGTGGGGATATCGGGTGCGGTTGGGTGCATTTTGGGGATCGGACAACTGAAAGAAACTTAACAAACCGTTAAATGAAATTCGAAAGGCATTCTTTGAAATGGAATGGGCGTTTGGGTTGTACGATTTCCAAGAGCTTGGCAGACTTGATCTGATTAAGAAAAACAAGGCAAAGAATTATTTCGAAAACATTATTAACCATAATAAGGAGATTTACAAACCGTTCGCTCGGATCACAATCAAATTTTAAGTTTTAAGTGAGGAAATAATGGTAAACTTAGAGTTATGGGGAATATATTACAAGTGTGTTTATGTACATATCTTCATGCACCGCTACCAATCTTGGAAATCCTACTTTTAGCTTCGTCACAAGCCGAAGCTTCTGATTTGGGTTTATCTTTATTTTGTTGGGTTTAGTTTCGCTCGCTCATGGTTTTACTGTACAAAGTTGATGATGATTTTTTGTTAGCAGTGGATTAATATAAACATTAATAATCATAATCATGTACAAATACAAAGAGTTATATATAATATTCAAAAAACAAAATCAAAGCGTCTCAATTGGTGACAACGAACAGTATCTCAAAAGTAAACTGAAAATGAAATCAATCAGTAGTAAATATGTATGTAAGTATGTATGTACCAACAAACAAACACAATTAAATATCTGTACAAGAGAATATATGGAATTTGGACCTTTATTTACAGCGTTGTGTGTTATTGTCATTGTTCATATTCACATTTATACAACAGTCGTTTACGTTGAGGTTGTTGCTTCTGCCTCAGATTCTGCTGATGGTGATTATTTTATGTGGCTACGAGTATTTATTGTTTGCAGTTCTGTCGAATTTAGCTTTAATGCACGAGGCTATGGTTATGGTATGCAGCTCTCTACACTCCCGAGTAATTCGGCAAGGGGCCCAAGGAGGCTAGACACGCAAAGATAAGTGAGCCGAGCATAAAAATAATAAATAAGTATCAACAAAACACAGAACCTAACCGTAACCGTAACAAAACAAGGCCTACAAATTAAGACGAATGGGGTTTATGGCACGAATTGTATGCGCATACAATACATATAAACGTGTATCACGAAATTGACAATGGTACCGTGGCGGATGGCAAATAACCGGGCCAAAATGGAACCGACCACGACGGTACGGATCTGAATGGAGCGACAACAAATTAATAGAACAAACGGGCACCGACGACAACCAAAACGGGCAAAAAATGAATGAGCACATAAAATATTGCATAAATAAATGAAATGAATTGAAATGAAAATGGCAATGTGAAAATAAATGTATGAGAGTGTGTGCCCGAGAACACGCAAAAACAACAATTGGCAACACACCGTGTTTGGCCAGGAGCGTTGGTAGATTTTTCGGGGCCAGGACCCGGGGAAAACACTCGAAATTGGTTGACACCCCGGGCGCCTGACGCCACTGAATCGCCCCGGAATCGGAATCCGGCTCTGTTCCCGGGTGTCCCTAGGTAAATAAGTTTTTATGCTCGGTATTTGGTATTCGCGCTGTACATATATATATATGTATATATATATATATAGGCGGCGAAAACTGTACCAACTCACGCAGGGCTGGCTGCTCTCCTCCAGCCCCAAAAAAGGCGGAAAACGAAGGAAAAGTGGGCACATGAAAATGCCAAAAACTATATAAAATAAAATAAAACTCGGTGTCGGACTAGGTTCGGGGTTGAGTTGGGTTGGTTTGGGTTTCTGCGCCTCCTGGCCTGGCCAACAAATTACCCAGTCAACGTCCAGGTGGAAACTCCCACCCAAACACCCCCTCTTTCGCCCACCCACACCCACACGCACACCCACACACAACCCATGGAATGGCAATGCCCTGTTATGTGTGCGTGTTGTTATTGTTGATGATTTTCCTTCTTTTTTTTCTTGGTGGCTGGCATAAAAGGCATGGCAAACATTTTTACCGACATTTGATTAAATTTAAATATCCTTGCACCGAAATTGGCGAAAGCATGTCCTGTTATGTTGTAACACCAAATAATATAAAGGAAATTATGAGGGCGCAAAGAATGCGAATACACGCTAAACGTCCAAAAAGATGAACTCATAATAAAATGCCCAAAAAAACTGGGGGAGAATGCAAAAAATTATCGTTGAATATTTTCCCGAAAAAAACGAAAACTCAAGAAGCAATGGGGGAGCAACCTCCGGAAAACGGCAAGTGCTTGGATGCCGTAGTTTTGCTTAATTATTTTAATTATTTTTATATACCGCCGCCTACGCTTTTGCGCTGCAATTAAAACGCTGCGGCCTGGCCTTCATTGAGTGCCCATCACCCCAACCTAGGCTTTATTTTTTATTCCCAGGGTTTTTCGCTTTTTTGCAGGTGGAGTGGAAGGTAGCTGGAAGTGAAATTGGTATGCAAATGCTGGCTGGCAGCCGGTCACAGGCTACACAAAATGTCTGGCTAAAAGCGCTCGCAAAATAAAAAGCGGTAAACATAATTAAGGGGGGCAGTGGAAGTAGTGGGGGTTGGGGGGGTGCAGGTCGAGTGGCTAGTGATACTATCGTACTACCGTGTGTAGTTTGTACTCGAAAATGCAATTTAAATGGCAGTTAGCAAACGCCCTGAAGTATGCAATTGCTTTTGATGGCTCGCATTGGATTATCATTGATGCCAATGAATCGAAGGTTTCAGGAATCGGGCAGCCGGCTCGTTCATTTGATTGGCAGCTCGCTTACACGCACTTTGCTACCAGTACACATTCACGGTCAAAAAATTAGGCCCATTACTTTGACAGTCCGTCGCAGGCTCACAAAGTAAATTAAAAGAAAAAGGATACATACTGGGCAATCTTTGAAATTTATAAATAATTAACAATGGCTTTATTACTAAAACTTATATTAATGCCAGATGTTGGTTTGAGTAATATAAAGCATAACATTTTCCATAAATAAAAAGTTATTCGAGCTGGCACAGAATTCTCTTAATTTTTAAAATGTTTGTCCCTATTATTTTGACCGTGAGTACGCATTCGCATGTGTCTGTGGAAAACCTTGCATATCCTTTGATGCCCGACACAAGTGAAAACGACACTACATTAGCCTTATAGCAATTAACAAGGCTTTTCCTGCTAATCCCATATGTACAAGTTTTCAGTAATTGAAACTGTCGACTGTCTAAGCCCAATTACAGTCTGCCATGCCAGAATACATTGTTTCCTTGTGTGTATGCCGGCCATAAAAATGACTGAAACTGTCGGAATTGAAAGCAACTTTATAATGCCTTTGGTGAAAATCTCAATTTAAAGCGCATTAAAATGGGCAAAACGTAAAGGATGAGCCCTTACACTGTTTTCAGCGCCGGGGGCTTGCTCTTTTATCCAAAACTGAAATTTAATATCGTGTTTGTGTGCGCGCTTGTGTGACAATCTAAACAAATAATGATTTAATAAAGAACAAGCACACACGCACGCAATTTCATTGTACTATTGATACCATTGTTTTACGGTCTGCTAATCAAAACCAATTCGACCCCGCCCTCGCCATCAACGGCGCTCCTGAATTATAAATGAGACCTAAAACTCTCGTTTAATATTTAAACAAAATCAAATCAAGGAAAAACGGAAGGCAGGCAGGCAACACGAGGCAGCCAAGACAGCCAGTCAGCCAGTCAGCCAGTCAAACAGACTGTCAGACAGTCGGACTCGAGCTCCAACTCGGAAATATCAAGTGGAAAATATCAAATTGTGAGGCCAGGACCCGATGGGTGAGGGGTGGTGGCAGGAGTGGGCGTGGCGTTTTTCAAATGCGAAGCCAACTGTCTGACTGCGCTCTGGGCCAAGAGCTCGCCACTTAAACTAATTTGATTTCTATTGAGGCAAACAAATAATAAATAATGAATTTACATTTCTATGCGTGTCCGGGTGGATTGCGTTGCCATGACGGATCTGAATCCGGCTGGAGGAGAGGTTAAGTGAGCATGTAAGAAGGTCGAGCGGCGGTGCAACGAGACTAATTGTGTGCCGAGCCACTCGGCTATTTTCGCTTGTAATTAGGTGCACTGGGAGCTCGCTACCTGATTAAGAACTAAGCGGGTTGCAGCCATTAACGACGAGTTTTGGATGCGAATAAAATGTTTGCGGGCGGAATACTTTTGGATAATTGCTACAAGTACTTCGTGTCCCTTCGCAACGAAGTGAAAACACTTCGACACTCGGTGTCAAGTTCCCAATTTCCATTTTCGACCTATAAATAAATCATGGGCCCAGCAAGTAAAGTAAGTGGGTTGTAAATGTGATGCCAGATAAAGCGAAAAAAATAGGATGAACAAACTTAGGCAATAATTCTTCTACTTCTCGCAAAAGTACTGGAACTTATTGGAAATTCAATACACTCCCCTGCCGTCAGAGATTTGAATAGGTTTCGGAAAACTGGTTCAAGACTTCAATACTCAATACTCGTACCTCTGTTTCGGTTTCTGCTGGATGCTCGTCGTGTCCGGAGTGCTGGTCTTTGGGTATTGTCATGATTGAAGGTGAGATTTATTTACAAATGAGTGGATGGGTCGCTTCTCTGGGGTCGCAACTAAATACAAGTTTGTTTTGTAAATACAAATGTGTGGGTGCTCATTTGGGGTTCGGTTTGCTTGTTTGCTTTACAGAACTATACAAATGGGAACAAACGCGAAACGAACTGTACAAAAACTTAGCTGCGGCTGTTAAAAATGTACAAATTTCAAATATGCAAATTTCAAAACCAAAATCCAATCAAATTTCTCATGTGTGTGCACACCTCTGTTTGTTATTATTCATCTCTCGATATTTGAAGCAAAAACACACTGGCACACACTCTCGCACACGTATTTTAACTTTGAATTGCTCTAAATTGATTTGTAGTTGTAGTTTTAGTTTGGGTTTTAGTTTTGGTTTTGGTTTTTAGGTTTGGAAAGATCTGTTGCTGTTGTTGGAGTAGTTAAAAATGTTGAAGTAAGGAAAGTATACATATCATATAAATATTAAATAGAGTTTGCAAATATATATGGGTATATATTTAGATATATGTAAATGTTTGGTAATAAAAATAGGTATGGAACAAACAATTTGATTTTTCAGTCTCATGTTCCGTTTTTTACTTTTATATATTTACACAATTGGTTTTTTGCTTGAATTTGTTAATTATTTACATTTAAGGTGAACCGATAAATGCACAAAACCAAAGAAAAAACGAAACAGAATAAGAGGTAAACAAAAGTTCTTAACTAAAACTGGTTATAGTTTCCTGTTTTGATTATTTTCTTCTCTTGATTCGATTGTGGGGGTTGCCTTTTTGTTCGGACTCAATAGGATTTGGAATTAGAATTAAAGATTGCTCGCTGTTTTCTTTTGTCTAGATGGTATTGTATTTTGTATTTTGAATCTACTGAGTAGACCTAATTGTTGTTTTGGCCTCAGCTTCGGTTTCAGTTTGGCTTTAATTGGTTGCTCTGTTGGGAGGGGTTAATCTGCTAATCCGCTAATACGCTTGAAAATCGCAACTAAGTAGCTTAATTGGATTGACACTAACTCTAGGTATTGAGTAATATTAATAGTGGTACGAGTAGTTTAAGTTTTAACTTTTCGGGATAAATTGCAACGTGTGTATGTTGAGGAAATATACAATTCATTTTGGTTTTGTTATCGGTTTTCTAGGTGGTTATATATATATTTTTTGTGGTTAGATTTGTACTTCTTGTTGATTGATAGATTGAGTTGTTATTGGTTGTTGATTGATTGGTTGATTGCTTGATTAAAGTGAGAGTGAGTTCGAGATATACAGAGAGAGAGGTAGAGAGAGGACCCTTGCCATGACAAACGTAAACAAAGTAGAGTTATTTTTATTCATTTCGTATGCAGAGTATTTGTTGTTTGAGACTATTTACAAGTTTGGTTTGGTTTGGTTTCGTTTCTTTTTTTTTTGGTTTTGTTTTGTATAATTAACCAAAGATTGCATTAAAAATTAAACAAGAACTGAAACCAAAACCAAAGAAAGTTCGTATAAAAAGGAAACGAATAAAACCGAATAGAACTTATCAGAAATACCGAAATAATAATTCAAAATCCTGCTTTTGTTTTGTGTGTTATTTAAAAAAGAGTTAAAAAATTGAGAACGTGTTATTTTTCTGCTTTTCAGTTGGTCATTGGACAGAACGAAAAACTTTTGTATTCTCGTTTTGAGTGAAATGAAAATAGCGCATAAATGATAAGGTTAGGTTAGTCATGTTGGATAACTAAGGGAGCATTTCGAAATATGTAATAATAGGTTAAAATGATAACAGAAAACTGGTATTTTGAGATAGCGAGTTAGAAGATAGAGTCTTTGTATTTTCTTTTTAGTTTGCTTGCTTTGCTTATAACTTATTTTAGAGAGAGAGATATATAGATATAGAGAAAAATATAAAGTTAATGCTTACAATCATTCATATCGTCATTGGATCTCATTATGTACTGATCCGATGAAGATAGTCTTGAATGCCCGTTCGTATTGGGATGAGCTCCCCCCCTATGATCACTTTGTTTATTAGAGCTACGCATCGCCAGTGCAGATGGGTTCGACTGATGCATATACATACTATCACCTTCGCACTCACTTTCTTTATATTGGAGCACATTTTTATGCTTCTCATAGATAACCAGGCAACGATGACATCCTTTCCTAAAAAAGTTTTTGGTTGCAACGAAAAGTTTGTATTTGGTAGTTGGTATATGGTATATGGTATTGCTTGTATATGGTATAATGGTTATGTGGTTCAATATTCATGTTTCTTGTTAGGTATTTCTTGGTTCGGTGGTGCGGGATGTGTTGGCTTGTTTTCGGGTTCTTGGCGAAATCGACAAATAAAATGGTTGGTAAACTAAGGCTAAGACTTTGACCGGGCATTCTAAAAGTCCCTCCATGTGTTTGTGTGAATGTTATCGGAAACGAATATATCTCATGTATATATTACTAGGTGCAAAACAAGGAAAATTACACTGAGGCGTTACCCCGTCGCCTTCTTCAAATTACTTTCAATAAACATGTTATGATCCCAGAAATGTGGCCCAATATCGAAACTGGGAAATACTTCAAGAAAGATGTACATACTTATGACTTTTTCCAGGTTTTTTATTTTATATTCAATTGAAAAGCGATTACTAAGTTGATGTTATATTTTGAGTAGAAGTAATTAAATGATCATCAAAAGAAACTCAAAGGACGTACACTTAATAACGCAAGAAACTCACAAAATATATGTTATTGAAAAGTGATGTAATAATATTTTGAATACATATTTATTGGTATAGATAAGTGAAAACGTTTCAAAATAAACAGTTTCATCTTGGGTTTTGTTTGATTTTTGTGTTGTTGGGCAAAATGTAGGGGTTCTGTTATTTCCTAGCTGGTAAGATAGTTGATGGGGCTCGGTTTTGTTTCGATATGTTTACGATATTTATTGGTATACGACAAAAACTTGTACAGAACTAAATGAATGGAAGCCGGAGGAGAGGGCGTGGCAAAAAGTGAATTAAATATGAATACAGTCCACGCCTTCGCCTCCAGCAGCACAGCAAAAAGGCCAATACTATTTAAAGAGTAAAAGTAAGGCATCGGAAAAATCAAAAACATTTTCACATTTCAGCTACAACGGAAAATCTTAGCTTACGGATAGGATTATTCATAGGTTTATTAAATATTTATAAGCATAAACATGGCAAAACACAAAATTCAAAATAAACTCGATTTGGGTAACTTAATGCTTCGTTTTTTTGTGGGTACGTCTTATTTTGTTGGCATTAAGGAAAGCAGCTTAAAAGGGTTTTAATTGTTTTTCACATTGCTCTTTACGACTAAAAAACATTCATACGAAAGAAAACAAAAGAGAAATTCCAGGCCAAAGCAAAAGAAATGGCATGGAAGGGCAGTACAAAAAGCAATTTTCCTTTAAATGTCTTTGGTTTTCGTTTCGTTTAAAATGAAAAATCATCGGAAGGAAAATGGGCAGCAACAAACGCAGCTGCTAAGTAGGATAAATGGTTGAGTAACACAGATACAGAGTAGTCAAAAAGGCAGTTTTCTAAATTAAAAACACAATACGTGGGACCGTAAAAGTTTGTTTTAGATTTGAGCTCTGGCTCAGTAGCATTTACAATACGAATGGGTACACAAACACAAGCGCGGATATATCTATCGGGCGATATACATATAGGGACACAGAGATAGAAGGGGACTGGGTGGTTTTGGTCTTGGTACATGACTGGCTCTTGTCAAACATCCGAATTACGAGCATCGCGCTGCCTCCAAGAAAGTGCCCTGCACACGGAGGAGATGGAGTGCGGAGGACATGGCGGCATGGTGCGGCAAACAGACTCGCCTCAAACCCGTTTCAAAGGCAAAAGTTAAGAGCAGCAGCTGGCAGACAGCGGCAACATCAACAACAACAGCGGCGGCGACAACGTTAGCGATAACGTTGACGACAGGTTTGACTGCCTGTGTAAGGGAAGCAATACATTGAGAAAAACCAGACAATACATTCGCATATATTCAAGCGATTGTGACATATTGGATTGCCTATAACTGCCAGATATTTATTGATAACATTTGTTCCATTATTTGAAATTATTACTAATATTATTTAAATATTTTGAAATTATTATTTTTAAAAAAATATTAAATTCATTAGGAACGAAGCATTTTTTAGAATTAACTTCATTAAACCTTTTGTAAAGTACAAGCTGGTTATTACCTTTTGAACTACATAATTTCATTAAAAATAAAAAGGGACAAATTATAAAATCGACTTGCGATCTATTGTGGTACATTTTTGTCCGCTGAAATGGTCATGTCTGATCAGAAAATAAATATAAAAAAAATTAATCATGTCGTTGCATATATATTTATTAAGTCTTTAAACATCCGTAAAATGAATAAGTCCTAAAATAATTTAATTATCTTAAAGGATGCAAGGATTATACTATAAAAACATTCCGATTCTTTCTCAATTCTCTAATACATTTAAATGTATGCACTTGATAAAAAGAGGAAACTCCCACTGGCCTGATTGAAAAATGTGTCATAAATATAAAAAACAACAATTTAAGCCTTTAACCCTCTAGTTTATCTTTTGAGAGTCCTGCGGTGTTTTAAAAATTAAAAGTGCTACTTGTAAGCTGCTATTTTCTCTCCGTGTCCTGTAGTTATACGATGTCGATGACGATGTCGCTCACCCCTGCCTGTTGTCTTTGGCCAGCACTCTACTCACTCCGCCGTGCTGACTGGCTTCTTTTTAATGAGGTTAGTGCTGCATTTTCCCGCCCGTGCGGAGGGTCCTCAGCCTTACCTTAACACATTTTGCCGAGCACACACACCTTCCAAAGTCAGAAATGAAAACTTATTCAATTATAGGCACTCTTCGACAAAGAAACCAACACAAAAAATATATGTATGTGGGGGAAAAGTAAACCAGAACATCTCATTTTCCTCGGCCTGTGCCAAAAACGTACGAGTATTTCGCCAGCCAATGGATCGAGTATCGGGTTGAGATGTTAGCATATTGTTAGCGGGCGGAGCGGGACCCTCGGACCCAAAAAGGGACAGGGTCCCGACCGGAGAGATGGTACTTACTCGTCGACAATCAGATATTTGTTACCATCGGAGGCCGCACACCTGCCGCGATAGCTGAATTGGGAGCCCTTGATGTGTATGGATTGCTGATAGCCGGACAGGAACCAGGAGCCCTCCCATCGTGCCGGAAACGTGCAATTTGAGGGCGCTGCAAGCCAAAATACACAGTAATAATTTATTAATAAACGACTTAACCATTAATGCATTAAGATATTATATTCCAATTGCCTCCCCGTGGACTGCAGATGGTTGATGTGACCTCAATTGCGTTCATTGTTCATTTAAGAGCCGTATAAAAGAGCAACCGCAATCTTTCCCAATGAAGTGCGTTTGCAGGCACATTTATTTAAGCACACAAACGCAAAAGCACTTGTTTATTGATAAATTTAGATTTAGGCTGGCCACTTTCTTCGGCTGCTCTTCTAATTGTATTGTCAAGTTTTCGGTGCCAAGATTTGTGGCTTTTTAATTTGTAAATTGTTTCAATTATTATTATGATTGTATTTAAGTGCGTGCGCATAAGGGGCTGCAAATTTACGACCCGCCATCAGGAGTGGGATATGCCATTAGGGTAGGGGTAGGGTATCCGCTTAGGGGAGGGCAGGCGCATAAATAAGTTGAACAAGCCAGGCAACCAAAAACTGCTTGTAATAATAATAATGTCACACACAGATACCCGCGAACACACTCGCAGCAAAACTACCGAAATGGCAATTGTGAATATTAAAAAAAGGAAAAGAACGGAACAGAGCAGAGCAGAGAAATGGGAAAGGCGAAGCCAAAGTATAGAGAAAGAAACGTAAACGGAAAGTTAGCTAACGGCATGCCACACTCGCACACACAGGCAATAAGTACTATATCCCGTACAATGGGTATAGACCCGCACACAGATACATATAGAAAATGGTAAAACCACCCCCTGAGCCATACATATAGCTTAATGTTTGGGCACGATTGGCAGCAGCAGGGAGTTCGAGATGGGGTAAGGGTGGCGGGCAGGAACCGGAGCGGAGATGGCGATGCCAGTCCTGATGCCGACGGGCGGTGGGTGTGCGATCTGAGAACTGGAAACTCGGAACTGGGAAGTCGCAGATGGAGACGGAGAAGGAGGACGGTCCGAGCTCAGGCTACGCATTCAAATACAGAAAACTCACAAGGAGAGACGAATGTGCGCACCCGAGCCAGAAACAGAAACAGAACCAAAGGCAAAGAGTCGATGTGCAGACGAAAAAATGCTTTATCATTTCCATTAAAAAGTTTCTCTAAATTGTTCTCTAATTAATAAAACAAGTTAAAATACAGAAAACACGTGATTTGTTTGATCAATATAATTTAATTTATTTTATATTTTATTTTAAATGTTTGAAAAAAAGGGAATATTTTTTCTGAAAAAAACTAAGATTTTTATAGGATATAAGGAAAGACTAATGGCTACAATCTAAGCCCTTATCTATGAACGCTTTTTATTTTTAAAATTGAATCCTTTTTTTTGTTGAACAATACTTTAAATATTTTTTTTTTGTAATGGGAAATCATTTTACTTATATATGTTACAAACACCGTTTCGTTATTATTGAATGATTTTACATTAAATATAAATTGAAAAAAATATAAACTAAAAATTCAAATTGATCATTTTCTGTGTAATAATGGCAGCAACAACTACAGCGGCAACACGGTGCCACACTCACACTAGAGCACACACACAGAGCCGTACTAACAGCGATACACATTTTATTTTATTATTCCTTTCCTTTCCTTTCCTTTCTTTTATTTTACTTGTTCCTTGTTGATTCCATTTTTTTCGCTTTTTGTTTTTACATTTGCGGCAAACAAAAGGTACTCATGCGCAGGATCAGCGCAGCGCTCTGAACTCTGAGCCCCAACTGAGCCGCAGCTCAGACCCCGACTATAGTCGAACATATATAGTCGTGGCCGGAGCCGGAGCCATGGCGTGTGTGTGTCGTCCAATGACTTGTGCTTTTTACGGGCCGCATTCGCTTGGCTGTCATAATGCGGCCCATACGCACAGCGGGCTGCCTGTTGTGTGAAAAGTGTAGCACACTTTGCCGGGCAGCCACCGCCCCGAACGAAACGAAAGTCGGACCCCGGACTCCGCACTCTGCACTCCGGACTCCGGAACCGGGAGCGAACCCGGAACGGAGTACCGAAACCACCCCCCGCCGGCGAATAATTGTTTCGCCAATTTCGAGTACCGTGAATAATTTTCCAACATGATTCAATACTTTTGCCCGAGTGCCGCAGCGAGCATTGTTGCTGCCGCTGATGGCAACACAATCATCGCACGTTGCCCTTCGCCCTTAATTCGCTACCCCTGAAATATGCTGCAGGACAAGCTTAAGCAAATACAAGCTGAAAGCAAATATGCGACTACGACCACGACCGACTGGCAGGCTGGCAGACAGACAAGCGTACAAATGCGTATAGACAGTTGAAATGACGGACGCGAAAGCGGCACGGGGCTTTTCATATATATTTTCGGTGTGTTTTTCGTTTGGATTAGAGTGGCTCAGAAAGAAACACACAGAGCGGGGAAAAAACATGCAGATGGTGGGAGAAGACTGAAGAAGCTTAGGCAACAACAAAGCGAAATGAAGGGGGGAACAAAATAAAATAAATATGCTCAAAGAGTTGCTCCTCACAATGGATCCCTATAAACTGACAGTAATCAGGTGCATTAATCAAAATAAATCTCGGGAGCTTTGTCAGCTGTACGGAAAAGGTATCTAAGGCGACTTTTCAGACATATACATGTGCTAAACAAGAAATACGTATTTGGGAGAGAGTCACAGAATGATAATCTTCCATTTGCACTGGCCTTTTAATCAAATTTGCTTACTGTTATTATGGTCAAAACAAGTTGATAGGTTAAATTCATTAGTAATATATTCAATACTCAATATATCAGGTATATTAAAAGTAATATTATTGAGCTAGGTGTCGGTTTAAACAACTTAATTCAAACAATACTTTTCTGAAGTCTGATTGTTAAAGCATTAAATTCGAAACCAATCTATACAAGTAAAAATATAGTGTTTAATTCTTAGTGGATGTCTGCGTCAGTCATTATTTTTTCCAAAATTCAATTAAGATTGACAGCGAGAATATTTAACACGATATTAATTATGCACTACTCCGTCACTTGTGGTTCCTGTTATGACAAGCAATTTCCTATCGCTAGCAACGTACACTTATCTTATCTACTATGATCTATAATGACAACTTCAACGCGCTAACAACTCCTTAACCCAATTATGTTGCCCACACTTATGGGTGTGCGCAATTTGAAGAGGTCGTTCGTTAGGCGCTTGGGTAGGGGTGTGTTTAAGGGAGCCCGGCTCATCACTGGACCACCCCTATTCCCATTGACTGGCTGTACGCACCCCGAACGAACAGACAAACACTTATTCTAGCACATAGCCAAACTCAAAGAGCATGACGCTTCTGCCTGCGAGACTCATTTGCGTTTTGGGCTTGGGTCTGGATTTTGGACTTTCGTTTCGCAGAGGGACAGCTGTGTTGGCAAAGGCGACAGCGGAGGTGGAGGTGAGGGTGGGGGATTAGGGGCGGGGCGACCGAAATGCTTTTGTCTAACTTGAGTGAATTATGGTCAGCGGTCGGTCGGTGGTCGGCGGTTGCTGGCTGTTTGTTTCGGGCAATTTCCGTACAATTTGCCATTGCATGTTGCTGTTGCCGGAGCGGCTGTTGCTGCTTCTCCGCTTGTTGTTTTCATTGTTTTTCAGTTTTTTTGGGTAAATTCGCTCATGGAGAAACAGTTGAAACGCATTATACGAACGCAGAACTGCGGTCACAAACTACTTATGGATTCAATTGAGCATGACCAGAAGAGGGGGTGGCCATGGGTGTGGATGGGGCAGTTTAAGTGGGAGGGATGAACCGCCAGCTGACGCCCTGTTGCGAGTACAAATTATGCCACAAAAATTAAATGAAACTGGGGTTTAAGGAGACCCTGGGTCCCGGGGTCCCTAAGTTGCCGGGGCACTTTCTTGGCCCGCCAAGTGAAATTATAAATTCTTATCATAGCGCTACTTATCGGCGGGGGTACTCACCATCTTGCCGACCGCCCCAGCCACTGACGGAAGTGGCCAAAAGAAGCATAAGCAGCGGACCAAGCCAACTTTTTGTCGACGTCATGGCGCAGCTCCTGCTCCTTGCTGTTTTCGTTGTTGTCCCCGCTGGGAAGCTGGATTCGTGGGAGTGCGATTGGGTGTGGGTATTGTTTCCGTTGCCCGGCAGCAGCTGCTGCCACAAGAACATCAGCCACGTAATGCCGGAAAGTTCCGCGGCCTCGCCCCGCCGATCCAGACTAATATCACCGTTATAGTTAAAGCACCTACATTCATCATACTCTTCATCATGCGGCAATGCTGCACCAGTTGTGCCCCTTGCCGTTGTTTTTGTCGTTGTTTGCGAATTGTGTGCGGTGGTCGTTGCTGCCTCTCCCGCTCCTGGTGCTCCATCTATTGTTGCTGAGCTAGTGCTGATTGGATTTACCTGGGCCACCGACGCCGCAGACGCATGACCTGGTCCTTCGCGCCGGATTCGCTCACGTCGCCAGCATCGCTTGCCGCATTCCAAGACGTCGCCTTCCACATCCCCACCAGCAACAGTGGGCATAACTAATTGCGACGTCTGCCGGAGATCGGTGCAACCATGCCCCGCTGCGGCCACGGGTAACTGAATACCCGACAGCAGGAATTTACCAGCCCAGGAGGAGGACATTGTTGCCGCTGCAGGTCCTGTTGTGGTTGTTGCCACTGCTTCTGCTGTTGCTGGTGTCAACGTGGCCGCTGAAGCATGTTTATCATAATTTTTATGTTCCCAGCCGGGCGGACAGCAGCAGCTGCCGTGCCAACTCCCGCTGCCTCGGCTCAAAGTCTGGTTTCGACTCCGACTCCTGGTACCGGCCGCAGGCACATGCTTACATGGATAGCAGAAAGGCGGTAAATAGATTAACGACGTTGTTCCTGCTCTCGTCTTGGATGTGGACGTGGAGCTGCTGGAGCTGGAGCTCGCTGTCTTCAGTGTCGCCTGCATTGGTTGCTGATGTGGCTGCTGATGCCGCGTGTCCTGTGGGGACAGAGACAAGAGTGGAATATTTTATTATTATAAAGCACAAACATGCTGGCTAAGCCAAGTAAATATGATATAAGGTGGCGGCGAATTTGAATTTAAAATAATGCTTCTCCTTGGCACTCGCATATACAAATAATCCCACAAGATTCATTGTTCGGCCTCCAACACGCACCAAAACAGTTGATCGTAAAAACATATATAAATAAAACTTCCTCAGCGACGCATTAAAAAGCAATAAAAATAAATATGGGCTCTGGGAAACCGACACTCCAATCGAAATAAAACTTCCAACGATGCGTAAATCAAAAATCACGCGCTATAAAAAAATTAGACACATATTTATACGCATCGATTTATGTGTGTACCCAAAAACGTCTGCATCGCCCCCGTCGCATTGCCATTGCCAGCATTTCTCCGCTATAATCTTTTCCTGCATTTAGCGCCTCCAGCTAGGGGAAAACTCTACTAAAAAGAAAACCACTTGAGAGATTTTCGGATTCTTGGCATGTGCGTGGAGCGGAATTCACGATCCCGGACCTCATATTAGGGAACTCTTAATTTCCATATCGCATGCAAGCTTTTCAAGCAACAACAAAATATTTTTTCCAATTAATGAAAACTTAATTGGTCACATTCAGGGCCAGAAAAAATTGTCGGAAATTATATATTGAATTGGAATTAATTTTCGAGTAGAAGTCCCATTTCTTACGTAGCGCAACTCTTTTGACAGATTACAATTGACGAATGTTAATCCATCAATTTTCGTTTCCAAATCACACACTTTAGTTTAATTATATTTTGAACAATTTAATGTTAAAAATCTTGTAAATTGATTATAATTACAATGACATACGATAAGTCCATATGTTTTATTGCTTAGCATTTTAGAGTAACTTTTACCCGCTTAAATTTAATCATCGATTATTAGAGTACATTATTTTATTATTTCATGAATGTAACATTTATTTCCTGGTATGATTAGAGGAATGAAAAGCTTCTCCCCAGCTTGCACCAAGATTCACCAGGTCATGTGTCAGTTAATATGTCACGAAGGTTCTCCTTAGAAATTCAGCATGCTCGAAAGAATCTAAATCAAAATGGAGGGACTTCCCCGGGACGTGCGGCAAGCCAGCGGACCAGCTCGTGAGGCATAATGCAATTTTGATGTTGTGTAAGCGCTGCTCTTAGCACATCATCTATGCTAATTAAGTTAATTAAAAAGTACCAGCAAAGTATTTGCACTTGGCCAACTTCACGTCATAATCAAAGTGGAGGCGGCGGCGCATCGAATGGAAAATGAAGCCCAAGTCATGTCAAATGCTCTTAAAAAGCCAGAGCTGCCCCTTCCCCCAGAGATGCTGGATATGAAGATGACGATGACGATGTCGAGGGAAATGGAGGTGGAGTGATGCTGCTGCCGAGATGACTTTGTTGCCATCCACACAGTGGAGTGTCTTTATTTAAAAATGAAGAGAACGGAGACCAAAAAAACGAGTCCAATTATAAGCTTCATCATTAATTTGAATAAAATTAATTCTCCCAAACACACAGGGAATGAAAATGCCACAAAAGAAATGTGCCACAGAAAGAGAAATAAAGAAGGAGGTTGGGGGCGGAATGACAGCAGACGGTGGCAAATAAAACATTTAGGCGGAATTATAATTTTACTTTGCTTATTTATAATTTACGTTTAAAATGTGAAACACCTGACAGCTAAAGAGAATTTATGTTTGCATGTTTTCCATTAATTTATTTTTCCGAGGCGCACCCCTCCCAAGGAAACTGCCAAGACCCACAATTCCAGCCTCGAACTGCACGAAAATGCACAGCAGGAGGGTGCTCCCGGGGCAGAAGGTAGCAGGAGGAGCCAGAAGACGGGCACATTTCGCTATCACGTTTGGACTATAAAACAGGCCAGCCCAGGCCACACAGCCCAAGCCCAAGCCCCATCCCCAGCCCCAGCCCCGGAGCCGTGCTGATGATGTTGTTGATGACGTGGAGCGCCGCTGCACAGCACCGCCAAAAATGGCAACGGGCAACCCAAGACACTGGTCCCAACCAGAAACCATAAGCGCAACACTGGGAATAATTTTTAAGGGATTGAATAGAATAATAATTTATAAGGCAATGTTAGTGGCGCCCAAGAAGAAATTACATATTTAATAATATTGAAAGTGGTCTGGCTTGTATTCGTGGAACCTTTTTACATTGAGTAAAAATCCTATTTGACTGAAAATAATAGCTTGTTTAAAAATTCTCCGGTAGAGTTTGTCTAACTAAACTTGGACCATATTGATAAAAAATATAATGATCCGCCATGGTATTTTTCGAGTGTATCTCTGGCACAGACAAAAAAGAAGGAGACGGGGACGTCTCGACGCAGTGCAAAAACTTGTCAAGTAAATATAAACGAAATGTGTGGCACGGCCGGGTCCGTTTCGTTCCGTTCCGCCTCTACTTGCTTTATTTTATTCCCATTTTATTATTATTTTTACCAGGCCAAAAGACGCAGACGCCGCAGCAGCAGAACACACATAAAAATATTTTTATGCAACATTTTTATGATTTCCGTCTGGCTGCGACAGCGGCATGGGTACAAAGAAACTTCGCCCAGTGACAGAGAGGCACACGGTCCGCTCCGATTCTGTTTCCGATTGCCAGTCCAAGCCATCTCCTTCACCTGGTTTCAATTAAAAGACACTTTTCTTTTATGTGACGGCTTATTTCTCATTACGCTTGCCATGTTCCTTGTTTTTATTTTCATTTCAATCCGGTTCTAGGATGCCGAATTCGGATAGGAGTTGAAATTGGAAATTGCGACTGGGATTGTACTATGGGCAACACGCTACTTTTGTTGCCCAAAATTAATATCTCGCTCAATTAAAAAAATATCAAACTAAAACTACCAATCTCATAGCTTCCATACAAACTGTCAAAAAAGTTTTTTTTCGAAATCATTTCAAAAATTATACATGACATTTATATGCATGCCAAAAGTAAAATTTCCAAAGCACGTGAACTTCATTTGCAACAGCTGATCTAAGAGCTGTTGTCTTAATCAAGGAGCTTTTTATCGGAATTTTCGGGACTTAACTTCTGTTAAAGTAACTTTCTTAAAAATTGTGTTGTTTAACGACTTTCATAAATAGAATTGACCAACGAACGTGGTCGTTTGCCCCATAGTAGGTTAGCCGGCTGGTGTTGACGGCCGCTCACAGTCTTCCGCAGGAAGGAATGCGAATAAAATGGAATGGATGCGTTCGCTCCCTTGTCTCACTTCATCAATCATTAATTTCGTTTATTTTTAGTGAAAATAATCACTTTGGGCAACATATGTGACCGAGCAGCGTTTCGCATGTGCTTCCGAACGGCAATGGGCTGGGATGGGGTGGATTTCGTCTGGGGGTTGGGCAAAAGCCTGACCAAGAGTCTGGAAGATGCGCATGGTCCAAAAAACACCTCCATGCAATTATCAAATGGACTCCGTACCCTTCGAGCTTGCGTGATGGTCCCTCTTCTTTGGATAGGTTAATGTGTGTGAAATGACTTTATTGGTTTTTCAGGTGGTCCGGCCCGGGTAAATGATGGCCTTGGCTCATGCCACGGTCTATTATGGACACATGTGTCTCTGGTGCTAAGGGTGGGCGCTTGGGGGAGTTAAGTGCGACTTAGTTGGATAATATGGCAGACATTCGAACATTTCTTAACTCCCATTTGCGCTTTTACAATGAGCGCTAAACAATTAAGCAGAATACAATTTGTTTGAATATATCGATAATATTGGAGTCTAAAATAACTGCTCTATGGGGAAATTAGGAAGTCTATATAATAAAATGTTTGTCTAATCAGTTATTGAAAAGTATATATTTTCTGATTTGTCGGTGTCTTCAGAATTTTTCTTCAAACAGGCCTTCAGAAAGGAGAACGTTATCGTCTAGGGTAAATAAATGGTCAAAATAGCACGAAGTTCTTAAAAACTATTGACTATTTGATGGTACATTTTAAGAGTCAAGTGTATGTACTTAGAGAAAAACCCAAAATTTTTATTGGTGCCGAATTAGTTAATTAGTATCTAAACGATACAATTTTGTTAACCCTCATTTTTGACGTTTGAATTGATCATTATCACTCCTTTAAGAAGTTAGACCGTTTAAAAGGTCGTATTATATTTTTATTAATTCCAGATGTCTTGGTGCTGACTTGGGCTATTTAAATGTTTGTTAAATTCGGTAAATATAATTATTCTGATTATAATTAGTCTAACCAAATTATTATTATTATTTTCGTATAAAATAAATTAGATCACACATTTTGTTAGCTTATGACATTTTAACTAAACGATTATAATTCAAAAATGTCCAAGCCTCACCCAAGTTAATTGGGGCAGAATGTCCACATAACTTAGAAGTAACTTTGAGTATATTTATGACACTTTTATCTTTTTATACCCCTGTTTATGTGACACATCTGCCTAACCGCTTACCCGGCAGCTACCTTTCACAACTTATAGTGAGTTTGTCAACTTTTTCACAACGCTTCCTGTGAAATACGTAAATCCTTATTCACTCCAATGACTAAGAGGCATTTCTTATCTCCCCCAGAGCAACGAACAAAGCAATAAATATAAATAGAGAATTTTCACATCGGGCAAACACACAAACTACACATCCGAAACCCACACGCACCTCGAGGTGAATTAATCAACAACTCCGAAGTTGCGTCCCGGAGTAATTCCCCTAATGCAATACAGTTCCGCCGTGCTGCGGGCTGCTATCTGGAAAAACCGTGCATATACATCGGTACCAACATGATTTTTATCTATGTGTCGATAGCATAAATATGACGGCTGGTCAGGAAGAATGGGAAAGGGGCGAGTGCAATTGCAGTGCGCACCTCATTGAACTTTTCAGACAAACACAATTTGTCCGATAAGGAAAAAAAGCGTCTACACGACACCCGCAAAAGGGGCGGCCATCTGGGGGGCGGGGCTGCCGAACGGCGCGCGCACTAATGGCCACCATTAATAATTGAAAAACTGAAACAGTCGAGCATGTGAGCAATGGAAGGATGATGGCGCTACGTGGGGGGTGAGGTGAGAGGTTGGTTCGCCAGTTTTAGGGGTTGGGGTGACAAAAATCTATAACCAAAAAAGTTATGAATAAGCGAGCGAGTGGAGAGCAACGACGACGAGTCGGTGCACAGAGGAAAAATCACTATAACAGATAATAGATAACGTAATACACATTTCTCCAATGTTGTGTAAATGCGTTTCTGATTTATGTGGAGAGCCTCTTAAATATTTTTTGAGAAACAACATATTTAAAGAAATTGGACAATTAAGAACATGATATTTGTGGAATTTAAAATGAACGATGGGAAAACATTGTATCTTTCATCTTCGAAACCTCATTAAAATTGAAAAAATCTTTACTTTACTTAGATTTTATGAATACCTTGCTAATAAGATATGTGTTAAGAATGGAAAATGAACCATTAATAAAAATTTTACAAAATCTTGTAAATGGTATAAAATATGAATTCAAACAAAACACCAAAATAAATATGTTTCCTAAAAGTCATTTGTAATAACAAGATAATATATAACTCTTAAGATTTAAGTTGGAAGTTCTTTGCTAGTTTAAAAGTTATAGAGTTTTGGATGCACGTTTTTTGAATGAATCTTTAAAGTTTACTAATCTTGTTGCGTGCAAACTCCGACGTAAATAAAATTTCAATTTTTATTATTAATGCCTATAAAACTATACACAGTTTCGAATCTTTACGACGACATACATAAAGTAAAAATATAAATCAACATATAAACATGAATCTTAAAACCACCAATTATTTTCTAGGAGAGTCGTTCAGTTTGAAAAGCCCGATGACCAATAGATCAAAGAAGTAACCAAATTTTTGCTGTGTACAAACCTGTTCTCTGTCTTCGTTGTTGTTGCTGGGGCTGCTGCAGATGTAGTTGTTGTTGTAGTTGTAGTTGTAGTTCATGGCTAGCTGATGAAGCTGCTGCGCTGCAGCAACGCTGACGTCGACGGCGATGTCGCGGCGACAATGTTGGAGCTGCTGCTTCTTCTTGTGCTGGAGCTCTTCTTCTAGTCGTTTTCCTGGTTTTACCCGTTTTTCTTGTTGTCTTAGATGAAAATGCAGCAACAGAGGAAATCGCGTGCAAAACGCAGCTAACAAGCATTGAAAAATGCAAGAATCTTTATCCAAGTTTTGGTGTTTTTTCTCTTATTTTTTGGGAGTTTCTGCAAGTGACTGGGTGATTTTTCGATGAATTTTCCGCTGCAGGGCAGCAGAAAGCGCACGAAGCGAACCGAAACTGAGACTGAAACTGCGATGGTCGTGCAAAATCGGGTATCTCAGACGGGGGGTGTTAAAATATTGGAGCAAGGTGTTTCCAAACACACAGCTGCGGCGAGTTTGGCCAATTCGCCGGCGTTCTCTGCGCAAAAGCAAGGCGGCGAAGAGAGAAGAGCGGCGCTACATTTGCATGGTTTTTGTTGTTGCTACTGCCTGCTCCACCACCATTTTCACAGTTAGACTTCGACCGTACTAGTGTTGGGGATCTCTCTCCCACTCTCTCCTTAAGTCTCCCCCTCTTTCCCTCTCACTCTCTGTGTCATTCGAATTAAAACGAATGCTCTTCGGAGAATAATTGGGGTTTAGATACTTTTCCAGCAGACAAAGTTGTATTTTTTGCACTTCTTATTGATATAAATTAAAGCGTATCAATCGAATTACACATACGAATCACACACATAGCGGTTAATTAGCTGTACACCAACACAGTTTTTCTTTTGCCAGCTTTATTACTTTGGTTTTTCTCTCGATTCGTTAGACAATTGGCATTTTGAACCGATTTTCACTTGACTCTTTGTTTTATTGAATTTTTACAGAGACGCTCTCGCACGCAGAGAGACTTCTACTTCTTCTTCTGCTGCAATACACACCACCTCCGAGCCAGGGGAAATTGTATCTGTGGGCTGTCTATCTACGCGGCACGCGCGACACGTCTGCTCAGTTCGATTTTCCGAGAGAGAATGTATCCTTTCGGTACGGGACCAACGAGTCGTATCTTAAAAATACAGTGTGACCGCAGCGCAGAACGCAATATACCGTATAAAAAATCCAACTGGTTCCATGTGCACGATCTAATTGTTATGGCGGGTTATTTAAAAAGTTGTCAAATTTGTCTGAAACTATATATTGTTCTTTCGAAAAAAAAATGATCAAAATAAATATATCACTTTTTATCCAAATCATAAAATTGTATTACAAATTATTTAATTAAGCGAATAATTTTAAAAGCATCGTCTTTTAATCTTTTAAAATGTACATTAAAAATAGATTTAGAACAAAAGAAATATTATTACTGAAATCCGCATAATCTCAATAATATAGTGATATGTCTTATCATTTGCAGCAACAAAATATTTACTACTCGAATAACGGGTATAAAAAAGCTATCCAAGACCCTCTCGTTGTATACCAATAGTTTATAGCAAACAAAAACTTCTTCTTAATAATTATACCCGTTACTCGTAGAGTAAAAGGGTATATTGTATTCGTGCAAAAGTATGTAACAGCTAGAAGGAAGCGTTTCCGACCCTATAAAGTATATATATTCTTGATCAGGGTCACTAGCCGAGTCGATATAGCCATGTCCGTCTGTCCGTCTGTCCGTCTGTCTGTCTGTCTGTCTGTCCGTCTGTCCGTCCGTATGAACGCTGAGATCTCGGAAACTATAAAAGCTAGAAGATTGGCATTTTGCATGCAGATTCTAGGAGTTCCTACGCAGCGCAAGTTTGTTTCAAAAAGGTGCCACGCCCCCTTAAACGCCCACAATCGCTCATATACGATTTTAAAAATTTAAATATTTCGGAAAAGTAAAAATGCAGTTTTATTGTGTTTATCAATACCTATCGAAATGTAGAAGAAATTTTTCAAATCGGACCATTCGTTAAAAAGTTATGCGTGATCAAAGTTTCTATCTCCATCTCCCTCGCACTCCCTTTACCTGAGTAACGGGTATCTGATAGTCGGGGCACCCGACTATAGCGTTCTCTCTTGTTTTTAAATAATTTTTACTGTATTGAATATAAAAATGTTTACTTATTCGTAGAATCTTGTTGGTTTAATTTGTTTTTTGCCAAGGCCAAGGTACGCAAACTGAGTCAAAATTCCAAAATTTGACTTTTGAGATAAGACCTGATTGTCAAACAGTTTAAGGCTTAAGGCCTATTTACACATTCTGATTTCTCATTTGGAACTTTGTCGGGTTACACCAAAAGTTGTAAAAAGCTATTTGATGATTAGATCTGATCTCAAATGCCAGAATCTCAAATAAGAATTCAAATTTAATTCAAATTAATGTTTCCATTATATAGTTAGGGGTTTCTTAAACATTATTTTACGGTCAACTAGTTTTAACATAAAAAATAAATATTTTCAAGCAAGCCTGTTTTTTGAAGCCACTGTTTTAATGCAAGCAAATGCGTGCAATAGCTGATTAATACGCCGCACTTAAGGAATTTATGAGACACATTTCAAGTGGCTCAAAAGCTGATTCAGCTTTCTTGTCATTCCACACTTCTCGTTATTTGGTTGGAAACCGATTTGTATAAACAAGACCCCACAAAGTTTACACAGGGAATTAGCAGGGCCGTCATTGTGTGCGGTATCAATTTACGAACTGGCCATGCAACAGAAACAACAAAGGGTTGTTGATATCAACGTTCGTTGACATACTGAGAACCAAGGAACGTATCTGTTTATAAAAAACTTCATTAGTGCACTTGTAAAACTGAACAAATCGGTAAATATTTACAAAAAGCATTGTTCATGACTACTAAAAAATGTTTGAACTTTAAGTAAAATAAATGAATATTTTAGGTCCAGTATATGTATTTTGGTAAGTGTTTTGATTTTTAATAAAGAACTAGTACTAGGCTTTTCACTGATGTATTTAAGATATGGAAACGTTCTCAAATCTTATACTGCTTTGTTAAAGATACATTTAAAGGTTCTTAAACTAAATTAAGTAAGCTTTAATCTCGTCTCAAAGTCAAGGACTCAGGCAGGGTCAACTCTAGACGTTATACTAGGAAATACTGTTTTACTTACATATGTTTCGATTAAAGGCCGAAAATCTCGACGTATTTTTAATGGTGTTGCATTGCTCTTGTTGCCCATTGCAATTTGTTGGGAGAGGTAAGAAATCAATAAGAGAACAAATTTGAGTTGCAGTATGCTCACAAACTTAAAAACAAAAAAATATGTGCAGTGACGGAAAAAATAATTGAAGTGGCATTTAATTTTGCACTTCAAACCTAATTTGCTAAATATGTATAAAAGCTCTAGGCTTAAAACCAACTATACTTGGTGCACTGATAACGGTACTTTATTAAGTCGGTTTCGCTTTTATTACTTATGGTGTCCACCAATCTTATGGGGGACCAATAGTTTGGGCTGAAAACAAAAATTGAAACCCGATCTATTTACAACGAAATTTTCTTTACCTTAAATATTTTGAAATTATAGTTTTAGTGTTAATACTTTAGAGTTAATTTTGCACAAAATTACAAATTTGGTCAAAATCCGAATTCAACCTCGACTTTTATGTACAAAATGGGTACCGAAGTGCACTGAACAGCTAATGAAAGAGATATTTTTAAAATATATAAATTAATTAATTGCTCAAGGAAAAAAGTTTTTTCTGCGATTTATTTCACAAAGGCAAAGGAGAACCGAGGTACAAAGAGAGCTACAATCCAAAAGTTTGCCGACTTGTTGATTTGGACATCAAAAAAGGACCCATTTCTTACATCGAAAAAACTCAAAAATATGTTGCAGGCATCAGTTCCTACTCGGACATTTAGGAACAGGCTGATTGAAGTGATTCCAAAGCACTTTCAGGTAGAAAAGTTTCACTTTTAAGCAAAAAAACGTTGAAAAAAAGGCTTGCTTACAGCCAAAATATGGAATAATGTCCTGTGGTGAAACTAAAATAAATATGTTCGGAACGGGAAAACATATGCTTTTAATCCGAAGCATAACATTAAGATTGTTAAACATGGTGGCGCGAATATTGGCGCGTTTCTGTTATTTTTTTCCACCACTGTAAACAATTTGGGGAATTTAAAACAAATTTTGAAATTGAAAATACAAATAATAAATAATAATTTCTAATATTCGTTTTTTAATATTTAATTTTCACTAATTAATTTTCCTTAAAATCGCAATCATTTTATATTTATATTGAATATCCTTAGTGTTTTTTATAAAAAGAGCAATCTCTCAAACTTTTCATATCAATAGATTACAAGAAAATGGCCTTCTAAAGCCTACGTTTTCAATGTTGAAAACGAGAGATCGCCAAGGGTTCAAGTTTAATTTTTGTTTGTGTATTATGTTTGGCTTTTTTAAATAAACACATACATACATAAGATATGGCCATCAATAAACACAAGTTCTTTTTTGCATTACGTTCTCCAACTTCCCACCGTTTTCGTTTTGTTTTCCTGGGTTGACCTTAGAGCTATTTGCTGCATATCCCTATCAGTTTTAGGTCAGAGTTGTGGTGTAGGACCATGAGGTCCAAGCTAAGGCCCCAACCCACATTTTTCCAATTAAGAACAAGTCGCGATATTGCATGCAGTGGTCATTCGGAGCGTCTGTTGACAGCTGTCTGCTCGCCGGTATATCCTTATGGGAAGAACTTCCATGTCTTCTTATGAAGAACATCACGGGCTTTAAAAGGTCAACGCCAGCGAAGTTCGAATAGTAATTAAGTTAAGTTGAAGTGCACAGTGCTAAACGACTTGAGTACAAGGCTTAGGCGTGGTGATACTAAAGTTCAAGGAGTACCAGGCGATACAGGCAATAAGACCCATCCAGAGTCCCAACAGTGTTCGGCTCCACCGATCGGTTCCAGTCACCTTATCAGTCAATTAGGAATCAGATGGTGCCAACGGCAAAATTTAAATTCTTTTAATTTGCATAACAAATGACCATTTCGGACCCATTTCCCTGCAGAGTCCTTTAAGCTTAAGGTTGGTTGTGCCCTCGATAACTGGTACTTTTTATTAGATAGTCCATACAAACTAAGTTTGTCTTATTTTAGGACTTTTGTAAGACTACGTTCGACTTCTTTAAGCTCAAGCTTTATCGAGGACGAGCAGCTCAGATTCACATTTTGTTTGGGCGGTGCATTTGGCGAGTTTGATGCAACCACCGACTCCAGCTTATTGTGCTTTAACCTAATCATTCTGTGCTATGTCAATATGTACGGATGCTGTGAACGACAGTAATGTATGTGATTGTTTTGGTTGAACCGAACACAAACCAACTTTAAAATTTCTTCTTTTTTCTATATCCGGCTTATAAAAACATGACTTTTTACCACGTCCCTGTTAGTGTTAACTCCAAATTTTCTTAACAATTTTCTAGACAATGAAAAAAGATTATAAAATGGGCTTCGGATATTTTAAGGTGTACCGAACGCCAAGGGTCAGACAGGCGCTGCCATATTTATGGATGTGCATAGGTTGCATATGCTTCGATAGTTGTGCTTGATATCGTTTTTAATCAGGGTTCCAGTTCCAATATAGGGAAACTCTTCTCAAACTACACAGACGGGGCAAAGCACTTTTATATTGGCAATAAGTACAATTGCGAATTGCAGTAAAATGCAGTAAACAGATAAAATGAACATTATTTTTTTGCGTTTAACCTCGAGTATCGGTTACGACTTCTTATTCTTATTTAATAAAATAAAAACTGCTTATGTGATAAAACCTTCCTCTATTAGCGCCTCTGATTTATCATCAGAATCAATACAGGTTTTCTTGTTATAAGTACTCACGAGACCGTTGCAACTTTTCATTAAGAGTTTTCCGAGACAGTTTCTTTAAAAATTGCTGCATTTTTAAATTTGATTATTCCTATGTCATCTATAATCGGTTGGCAAGAATTTTAAGCTTCATCGGAGAATACTTAAAAAAATACGATTGGTGATAATTTTTTGATAATTTAA